CCACCCCCACCCCGCCCAGCTTTTTCTCCACAAATAATTACCCTTGGAGCTTTCATTGTAATGGAAGAAGCAGGCAATAATCAAGTAAACACACAAATATCATTTTAGATACTGATAAGTGAGGGTAAGGGGACAGAGAGGGACTGAGGGATTAGGGGAATTGTCTGTTAATGAGTGCTCAGAGTCGGCAATAAACATTTAAACTGAACCTGAATTACAAGACAATATCAGACATTCAGAAGTCTAAGGGAAAAGCGTTCTAGAGAGAGGAATAATAAATGTAAAGGCTTTTTGTTGGGAATAAGCTTGATAAATTGGAGGAACACCAAGAAGGCGAGTAAGACCATGGTAACAAAACAAAGGGAAGAATGCTCACAGATGAAGGTGGAGAGGGAGACGGAGCCAGCTATGATGTTTGTTTGTAAAAATCTTCCATAGTGATCTTGGGAATTAGAGAGGAAGTGACAGTTCTCAGTAATGTCTAAAGTTTCTTTGGTTGGGAAAGAAGTATTTTGGGAATGAGAGGGAAAAAACGGACTATTTCATTTTTATGTTCTTTTCACTTTCTGTTCTCCATTCTCACTCTCACTGTAGGTGTTCCCTGAAGCAGTAGACCCAGGAGATGTGGTTGCACAGCTTGAATGTAAGTTAACCTTTAGTTTTTGATTCTAAGACATTTTATAATTGTGTTCTTTAATCCTGGGTTTCATAAAAGTTTAAAAGGGTCTAATAAAAGTTTTTTAAATCATGAACTTTTTTTGGGTACTTCTAGAATTTCAGAGTATACATGGAAATAATAAAAAAAATACATGTGCTATAGAGAGGCTAGGGATTTTTTATTTTTCTGTGTTTGGTCTGTGGAAAACAAAAAGACATATTTGAACTTTTTTTTTTTAGAGATTTTATTAGGGAATTGGGGGAGGGGAAGAGCCAAGTTGTTGTCCTTCAGTCTTAGTTGTGGAGGAAGCAGCTAGCTCAGCTCCAAGTCCAGTCACCATCCGGCCGCCCATGGGCAGCTCGCGGCCTCTCAGCTCAAAAGTACTGTGTTCAATCTTAGTTGCAGATGGGCACAGCCCAACATCCTATGCGGGAGTCAAACTGGCAACCTTGTCGTTAGAAGCACATGCTCTCACCACCTGAGCCACTCTGCCACCTGTTGGCAACTCAGCGGCAGCTCAGCTTGGACACAGCTCACTTGCCCATGTGGGAATTGAACCAGCAACCCTGTTGGTCAGAGCTCGCATCTTAACCAACTGAGCTACTCTGCCAGCCCCCTTATTTGAACTTTTTATTGATTTAGATAATACAGAGTGTTTATCATGTAAGGATAGAGATTCATATTAGGTGAGACTGCCCTTCAGACAAAAATATGTCTTTTCGTTCATTGTATTGCAAATTATGAGAGTAAATAATAGAAGAGTGACATAATGGTAGCTTAAAATATATGTGCTTTTGCATCTTGTATTCCATTTAATATTAATACATTAGTTGAAAGACATTTTCAAGGCTATGGATAACAGTAAATGCTTCAGAATACTAGGAATCAACTATAAAAAGGTACAACTATGTGTGAAAGCAACAGTGCACAGGTAAACACTTGGAAATAAGTTATTCGAGCTCTGAGCATGAAATGAAAAGCTATTATTTGTCCTTGTAGTTAGAAAGGGATCACCAGATTGGCCTAGTAGGTAATGGGTCAAAAGGTCAGCAGTGTTGGGCACCATTGATGTCACCCGTCTCCACAGCTTCCTCCACACCCCATTGGGACACTAGCAATGTAGGAACATGGAACCTGGCACCATGCTAGAATCTGGGCCTGTAGGGAGGAATAGAGCCGGCTCGTTGTCTTACATTCAGGGAACTTATGGTTACGTGACTCTTCTCCAAAGAACGCTTTATAGCCTGTGTCAATATCTTATTTTTTTTTTATAGCTCTTCCATCACTTGGTAGTCTTTTTCATTGTGGCAGACTAGCTAGGTGGCAGTTTGGTGCCAGTGGGTATATGACTTTTAATATTTCCTGAACATCTTAGTATCTGGGAAATTGTGTATCTTAGAAAGTGTGAAGATAATTATTTTATTCTGAAATCCTTCTGTTAAAAAACAATTTTTTTTTTCTATTTGATTTGAAATTTGGGGGCTATAAAAAGAGTGCTTAGTGGTTATCGTTATTTAGAAACTTTCTTGCCTTGATTTGTCTGACTCAGTTTCTCTCTTAGGTCTCTTACACCCTCGCTGACATTTTTGCTTTTTCATATCTTTCTGAAATTCGTCTTTCTCTGCCCTGTCTTTGAATATTGGTATTCCACTGGCTTCACTTCTTGGATTTCTTTTTACTTAGTTTCTACTCTTTCCTTATATGCTCTCCCAAGACTTGGCTTCATGTGTTTACCTTCTGATGACTTCCACATCAGTCTTTATCCCTGACTTCTGTTGTGAGCTTTGGGCCACTTTTCCTTTTTTTCTCTCAGTTTTGCAATCTTGCATTGTCCCTTAACCTTGTTAGTATGAAAATTTCAAAACACTAAAAGTGGAGAGGAGGGAATGTTGAAGTCCCACATTCCTATTACCCAGCTTCAACAGTATTTCACATATTGCCAATCTCATTACATGTGCACTCTGCCACTTAAAAAATTTGTTGGAATATTTAAAAGCAAATTCTATACATGCATCATTTCACTGCAAACACCCTGGCATGACCTCTAATTGATAAAGACTTTAAAAAAAGATATTTGGGGGCCGGCCGAGTGGCGCGATGGTTAAGAACTGGCTTGGGACGCCAGAGGGCCCCGGTTTGGATTCCACATATGAGGGCCAGTGACACTGCCCTCTACAGCTAAGATGCTGAACAACAGCTCGACCTGGAGCTGGGCCAGTGACACTGCCCTCTACAGCTAAGATGCTGAACAACAGCTCAACCTGGAGCTGGGCTGCTGTGAGTTGCCGGCGATGGCGATGGCGTAGGCTGCAGCCCCTGTGGCAGTGGGTTGCCATGGGCTACCGTATGTAGCCGGGAGCCAGTGTGAGCGGCCAGCAGCTGCAGTGAGCGGCCGTCCAGAAGCCGGTGACTGATCTGCCTCGTCTGGGAAGAGCGCAGTGATGGTGCCAACTTGGGCCAGTGAAGCAACGTCCTCCACAACTAGACTGAAGAACAAAACGACAGCAACTTGTCTGTTCCCCTTCCCCCAATTTCCCAGCACTCTTCCGATCCCTGCAATTCCCCAATAAAAATCTTTAAAAAAAAAAAAAAAGATATTTGGATGTATCTATATATCTGTAGGTATATCTATAATCACCATACTGGTATCATGTCTAACACAATTAATAATAAATCCTTAATTTCTAATAACATCAAATATGTAGTCATTATGCATATTTCCCCAGTTGTCACCCAAATGGCTTTTTTAGTTGATTTGCTGAAATCAGAATCAAGTCAAGGTATGGTTCATACATTGTATATGGCTGTTAGCTCTTAAGCTTTTTTCTGTAATAGTGTCCCTTGCTTTTTATTTTCCAATGCTATGAATTAGTTAGAAAAACCATGTCCTTTAGAATGTCCTATGGGGTGCATTTGGCTAATTGCTTCCTTAAAGTGCTGGTTAACTTTTTAATCACTTGTATATAAATTGAAAATAGACCTAGAGGTTTGATTAGATTCAGGCTTATTTTATTTTTGGGAAAGAATCCTTCATAGTTGGTGCTATGTACTTATTATAGCATCAAATCAAGTGCATATGATGTCTGATTGTCCTAAGTTTAGTGATGTTAAGATTGACCATTTGGCTCCAGGCAGTGTCAGCCTGATTCCTCCATTATAAAGCTCCTCATCAGCCTTTTATTTAATAGCTTTAGCATTTGCTGAGAGCCATCTTTTCATTAGGGGTTACAAAATGTGATTTTTTTCCCCTAATTTTTTCATTCTTTCTGTATTTATTAGCTGGAATTCTTCTATAAAAGAAATTTTCCTTATCAGCAATTTGGTTACCCTGAAATGCAGTCCTTATAGGAAAGCGTCATTCTCATCTCCTTTCCATACTTTTAACTGCTTTAGTGAGATATAAGTTCTGCCAATTAAGTTCGTGAACTTCCCACCATGCGCTTACATTGGCAGCACTGTAAGGTTTCATAACCTTGGTGTATCAGTGTCTCAGAGCTGTGTTTGTGTCAACATGTGGTGATGTCTTGCTGAATGGCGTTCATTATTGCATGTTTTTGTATGCCATCATGAGAATGTCTGAGCTTGAATTAGAGCAATGAACAAACATTGAATTTCTTGTTAAACTTGGGAAGAGTGGAAGTGAATTCAGGGACATGTTAGTCCAAGTTTATAGGGATAATGCCATGAAGAAAACGGCAGTGTACAAATGGATTAAATGTTTTTCTGAGGGGAGAGAACGTGTCACTGATGAAGAGAGGTCAGGTCAGCCAGTAATAAGCAGAATTGACAAAAACATTACAAAAATTCATCACATTCTCCATCAAAATCGTCAGCTTACTGTGAAAAGTACAGCAGACCAAGTAAACATCAATAGAGAAACAGTTAGGAAAATCTTAACTGAAAACCTTGACATGAGAAAGGTATATGCAAAAATGTTCCCAAAGGAGCTCACCAATGAACAAAAAAGCAAAGGAGAGTCGCAGTTTGCCAAGACCTTTTGGAGAGGCAAGATGATGTTTTGGGCCTTGTTATCACTGGTGATGAAACATGGGTGTACCAATACGACCCTGAAACAAAGCATCAAAGTGCACAATGGAAGTCAGCCATTCTCCACAACCAAAAAAGTTCCCTTAGTCCAAATCAACAGTCAAAATCATGTTGCTAACCTTTTTTTATATTAGAGGGATTATTTATCATGGACAAACAGTTAACCAAGTATACTATTTGGAAGTGCTGAAAAGGCTGAATGAAAAAGTTAGATAACCTGAACTTTTCACCAACAGTTCATGGCTCTTGCATCACAACAATGCACCAGCTCACACAGCACTGTCTGTGAGGGAGTTTTTAGTCAGTAAACAAATAACTGTATTGGAACACCCTGATCTGGCCCCCAGTGACTTCTTTCTTTACCCGAAGATGAAGGAAGTATTGAAAGGAAGACATTTTGATGACATTCAGGACATCAAGGGTAATATGACAACAGCTCCGATGGCCATGCTAAAAAAAAAGAGTTCTGTAATTGCTTTAAAGGGTGGACTAGGCACTGGCATTGGTACATAGCTTCCGAAGAGGAGTACTTCGAAGGTGATTGTAGGTGATATTCAGCAATGAGGTATGTAGTATTTTTTCTAGGATGAGTTCGTGAACTTAATTGTCAGAACTTGTAAACATTTAAAGCTATAAATTTTTCTTTACACACTGTTTTTGCTGTATTTCTTAACTTTATAGTTATATTTTGTTTTCATTAAAGATATTGTCCAATTGTGTGTGATTTCTTCTTTGATCTTTGGGTTCTTTTGAAATGTAGTCTTATTTCACAATATTTGGGATTTTTCGTATTTCTAATGTTGATTTCTCATATAATTTGGTTGTGGTGAGAGAACATAATTTGTAGGATTTCAATCCTTTTATATTTATTGAGACTTGTTTATGATCTATCCGAAGGTATAACCATGAGAATATTCCAAGTACACTTGAAAAGAATG